TGGTAGCAGTGTTATTCTTGAAAATCCCTTTATTCTTTGCAGTATATGAAGGAATCCTGGATTGGATCACTAAGGGTTGTCATTTTGACCCCACAAATCTGGCACATACATCTCAGATGAGGGTTAGAGTGTACTTGCCTTGAACTGTAGAGAATGCCAGGATTGATGGTTGGAAAAGGAAATAATCTTGCATATTCTTGCAAGTTACTTGAAGAATTAGAAAATGGGGCTTTTCTTTTGACAGGGCCTAGCACTGGTTAAAGCAACATAAGATTTTTTTTTCATTTTTCAAATTTATAGGAACATCTTTATTCTTTTGACTCACTTGCTTTTCATATTTGTAACCTTCTCGGTTTCTACCAAAATTTATTTTTGCCTGAAGCATCATCTCTTATTTGTCATAGCACTGACTCTAGTTCTTGTTGCTTCTCAAGGAAATAACTTTCCTTGTATATTAGGCTAAATACAATCTTGGCTCCAACTAGAAAATAAGCGTTGAATTAATTGACCTTATGTTAGGTAAAGGTAAAGGTTCCCTCTGACATTTTTAGTCCAGTCGTGTCTGACTCTAGGGCAGTGGTTCTTAACCTTTTTGAAAGAAACGCCCCCTTCAGCCATTGAGGAAGTTATCATCGCCCCCCTCCCCACAGCTATAATATCCTATTCATTCATTCATTCATTCATTCATTCATTCATTCATTCATTCATTCATTCATTCATTCATTCATTCATTCATTCATGGAATTTGTTTTATATTTAACATGGATAACAAACAGCATTCTAGTTGTAGGAAAATATTAATATTGTGTGTCTCTTAACTATTTTGGAAATTTCTGCAAATCAAATACTAAAATGAATCTCAGTAAAATGTCTAAGATGTGCCTAATCCTTGGGTGTATTCGGTCACAATTGCTCACCTTGTTAGCAATGACATTTTAAAATATTTTTCTTTTTTAAAATCTTGTCTTTCATTTCAGGATCTTATTTTGATCCATTGTAAGGATAAGTTACTGGGAATATTTGCTACAAATAAAATAGTGCTTATAGGTTTGTTAAATTTCCAGTGAAAGCAAGACAGTGATATGTGCCTTAGTGCTTATAGTAATTCATATACCTCTTCTGTAATAAGCAGATGAGGACGACACAATACTTATGCAACAAAAAAATAATAAAACTTCTCTTAGGATTCTGACATAAACTGAAAACTATTCAGGTAGTGAAACAAATTTATTTCCCTTGAACTGTGTTAGATTAATCAAATTAAACCATTTATAGATTTTAACTAAAGCTACAGAAAAGTATGCACTCTAAATGGCTCTGTGACTAGGTGCACTAATGTATAACATGACATGATCTGGATGTAGGATTATCCAAATAAAATATGGAGTGCTTGAGACTCTGAACACCTTGATTTTAGTACACGGCACATGTGTTTGAATTATTACAGTGGGCTGTTATAATATACTACAGAATGCAAATAATGCCTACTAAGCTTGCTGCTGATTTGTGATGATAGGGGAAACAAATTGCTGTCAAGCTGTATCTGTTTATGCACAAACAGATGTCTTACCTCTTAATAAGAAGCCCTACTTATTTCACTAGATCTAGTCTAGATCTGCTTTTGGGACTACAGTACTACTATTGGATTTAGCCCACTGTTACAAAAATAAAATTCAGTGTACTATTTTGTGTGGTTTACAAAAATAAGGAATAAAATTTGAAAATGTCCTTAATGCATGGACAACCATTTCCTTCACTGGTGCCTGTGTGCCTTCCCTGTATCACTTTGTATATTTTGTCAGACATAAAATGTATGAAGGATTTTATCACTTCTAAACCTGCAATGGTAATCATAAGAGAATTGGTATATTGTTGTTTGTGGTTTAGTCATTAAGTCTTGTCCGACTCTTCATGACCCCATGGACCAGAGCACGCCAGGGCTTCCTGTCTTCCACTGCCTCCCGGAATTTGGTCAAATTCATGTTGGTAGCTTCGATGACACTGTCCAGTCATCCCGTCCTCTGTCGTCCCCTTCTCCTCTTGCCTTCACTTTTTCCCAACATCAGGGTCTTTTCCAGGGAGTCTTCTCATGAGATGGCCAAAGTATTGGAGCCTCAGCTTCAGGATCTGTCCTTCCAGTGAGCACTCAGGATTGATTTCCGTCAGAATAGATAGGTTTGTTCTCCTTGCAGTCCAGGGGACTCTCAAGAGCCTCCTCCAGCACCACAATTCAAAATCATCAATTCTTCGGTGGTCCGCATTCTTTATAGCTTTGACTATAAAGCTATACAGAAAAACCTTTGTCGGCAAGGTGATGTCTCTGCTTTTTAAGATGCTGTCTTGGTTTGTCATTGCTTTCCTCCCAAGAAGCAGGTGTCTCTTAATTTCATGGCTGCTGTCACCATCTGCTATGATCATAGAGCCCAAGAAAGTAAAATCTGTCACCGCCTCCATATCTTTCCCCTCTATTTCCCAGGAGGTGATGGGGTCAGTGGTCATGATCTTAGTTTTTTTGATGTTGAGCTTCAGACATTTTTGTGCTCTCCTCTTTCACCCTCATTAAGAGGTTCTTTAATTCCTCATCACTTTCTGCCATTGGAGTGGTATCCTCTGCATATCTGAGTTTGTTGATATTTCTTCCAGAAATCTTAATTCCAGTTTGGGATTCTGCCAGTCCAGCCTTTCGCATGATGTATTCTCCATATGAGTTAAATAAGCAGGGAGCCAAAATACAGCTTTGTCATACTCCTTTCCTAATTTTGAACCAATCAGTTGTTCCATATCCAGTTCTAACTGTTGCTTCCTGTCCCACATATAGATTTATCAGGAGATAAATAAGGTGGTCAGGCACTCCCATTTCTTTAAGAACTTGCCATAGTTTGCTGTGGTCCACACAGTCAAAGGCTTTTGCATAGTCAATGAAGCAGAAGTAGATGTTTTTCTGGAACTCTCTGGCTTTCTCCATAATCCAGCACATGTTAGCAATTTAGTCTCTAGTTCCTCTGCCCCTTCGAAATTCAGCTTGTACTTCTGGAAGTTCTCGGTGCACATACTGCTGAAGCCCACCTTGGAGGATTTTGAGCATAACCTTCCTAGCGTGTGCAAATTAGTGTAACTGTACGGTTGTTGGAGCATTCTTTGGCACTGCCTTTCTTTGGGATTGAGATGTAGATTGATCTTTTCCAATCCTCCGGCCACTGCTGAGTTTTCCAAAC